ATTCTGCCTGTGGGGAATTAAAACAAAAGTACAAATAAGTAGGGATGTCCCACTGGGCAAAGATTACAGGGTTCTGGACAAAAATAAGAATCTCCAAAGGTCCAACTCTAAACTGGGCGGTTAAACCAAACTCAAGGTGATATTTTACACTAAACCGAAAACCCACAACACTCTAAATGTAATAAAAGGGAGATCTACACCACAAAAAAAGATGAACTCTAAACCAAAACGTAACAGCTTATCCAAACGCAAGAAGCTGTTAGCGAAAATGCTAACAGTAGCTTTACCAACGTTATGTTCAAGTTACCAAATTTAAATAAACCAAAAACACCCAGCAGCAATCAGACCAGCACAGAGGAGAGACTGCTACCACCAAAACAGCTCTCCTAATGTCTGAAAGAAGCTCCTTGATGAAGGGAGAAACGCTCCCGGTGATGTTCGGAAGTTGTTGTCCGTTGCCGGGAGACGAAGGCGGGCAAAACAGGAAAGAAATTTAGTAGTGGACGGACATTGTTCCGGGTCTTCGGTATTTGGTGGAGATGTTAGTGAAGGTGGAGAAGAGGGCGAACTAGAGGAAAAACATGCAGATTCCTCTTCTATTTACAAACTCCTGTGGATGCAACAAGTGGGCGCGGTGCGTCGACTACCGGATCTGACGTCGACAAATTTTTAGAATCGAGCCGTCGACGCCATTGAGGCGTCACTACAGCCCTAGTTGTGGCTTTTTTAGCTATAATTTAGAGTCATAATAACATGGCTTTTTCATTGTTTTTTCACGTTTCTTCCCCTTTTCCTCCTCTGATAATTTTAAATTTGAATATTTTCTGAAGCCATACTTTGGTCATTCTTAGACCTGACATAGATTTCAAACGTCATTTACATCATTTACAGTGCAGGAGCCTCGTTTATAAAACTTTGCGTTGAATCCTGACTTAAACTCCACATAAGCCCGGCAAAAATGTACCTGCGTAAAGTCATTTTCCAATCTATAAAGCGTGCTTATCCACAGCTGCATGCAGTTCTTGCTTGATAAATCACACTTAATGCGCTCAGTTGTTTTTAGCTCACATCCTGCCATAAATGGTCAATGCAAAGGACTTTATTAATAACTTTTTAAAGAAAAACATTTCTCAGCATAAATAAGCCGGTTGATCGGTGGCATTTCACCGGTAACCATGTCAACAGAGACCGAAAATGTTGAGTTTTGTGAAACTGTGTTTGTGAGTGACTTAAGCCTCTTTTATAAAACAATGCCGCCAATTTGCCGCAACGCTGAGCTGGCATCAGGAAGCCTGTTTGTTTATAAGTGGTCAGACCGTGGTGGTAATGTGGCACATTTGTTGCCAAAACATTATGCGATGCCAGTATAATGAGTGTATGGGGCGGTTTCTGCGCTGCCGCAGACTTCCGTTTATGTTAAACATAACTTACTTTTTATTTTGATCGAACCCAGGCTAATTACGTTTTTTTTTAACAAGCTGCTCCTAAAGGTGTCTGTCCCCCACAGTCCCCATGCAGGCTCTGGTGATCTGATATCCAGTTCTAATGGAGAGAAGCTCATGGAGCTCTGCATCACTCTGGTTTGTAGTATCAGCTGATTCTGTTTACAAAGTGAAACTTACTGCCGTGTTTACCTTCATTTTTAATATAGTTGCCGATCGGGGATTGGCAGTAACTCCCCATGGGGTCACGACAAAGACCCCATAATTCAGGTCTGGATATGAAGCAAAACAGGAAGTGACAAAGATTGCAGTTCCACCCTCATCCACTAGGGGCTGGTGTCGGAAGTGAGCAAATCCTCATTGACTCCCATGTTAAAAATACCAATTTCACAGCAGAAATAAAGATGTTTACAGTCTGGTTCCAAAACATGTTTTAGGTTTAATAGATCTAGTTTACATTCATGACAACTCTGATGGGGGTGAATTTTTTTTGTCTCTCTTCTATTTAAGTGTATTAAATGCCTAAAATTCTGAATAATTAATGAGCATCAGACCCTCGTGACTGCAGAGCTAGCTCCGGGGAAAGGCCTCAGCCTGAGCCTCGGCCTTGCCTGAAAACTGTCGCGCGATTTTCAGTCTCTCAAATTAGACCATTATTTGTGCCGTTTGTGCATTCTTTTTGGATATTATTTGTACAATTGTTGGACAAAATGACTTGCTTTGGTATTAATTGTACTAATAGAGTGTCCAAGGAGTCTCCACCTCTTTTTTTTCAGTAAGTAAAATTATATTTATGTATTTATGTCGATGATTTTAGGTAACTGCCGCTCTTGCACTAGCTGAGCTTAGATTTGAACATGTACTGTTTAACCATGACATTGAAATTTAATAGGGTAAAACCCAGTGCATTTAACATAATGCTGCATTTTTAAAAATGTGACATGTGGGTGGAGCTGGATTCCGACTATCGGTATGGTCTCCCTCCCCTCAGCGGCAGTTCGGCGCATCTCTGATCGCAGCGGCTCCTGTCTGCTGCACAGCTGCCGGCTTGTGGAGCTCTCGGGAGACCTCTGTGTTCTACCAGGTTTTACCCAGCGGTCAGCCCGTCGCATCTCTGACTCAGAAGCTCCGGTGTTGTGCACAGTTAGCTCCGGTTGTAGCTAGGTAGCTACCTCCGTTAGCTTAGCTCCCACCTCCACGTTAGCTTTGGGTTAGCTTTTAGCTACATCGCTTCAGTTCAGTGGCTGTCGTTATTTGATCCCAGCCTTACAGCCCCACCCTCAGCTCCACCTCTTTTCCCTTTTATGGAATTGTGTGGGCTTGACGGAACCTTTGACACAGTCAAAATGACGGTGGTGGCCACCTCCCATTTTGGCACAGAAACTTATAATTGGAGCCTATGGACAGGAATTGTCCAGTATATATGTCGATGGTCACGACACAACCAGCTGCCAAGGCGTAATATGCATCTTGCGATCATGGTGGACATGAAAAAGTGGTCAGATTGAGGCCAAGAGGAAGATGGCAATAGTTGATACCATTCTAAACAGCTGCATTATGCTGTTCAGGGATTGCTGAGATGTTCCAGATCCAAGCTCAACGTTTAACGAAAACATTTTAGTAAATCCAAAGGAGCTTTTAGCCTGTAAAATTACATATATTTTTCATCATGTCAAACAAATATCAGCATGCCTGTTGGCTAATTTCCACTGGAACGATGCAGTTTAAGTAAACCGGACAGGTGCACGGTTCACTGTGGTGCAGAGATTTAGTTTATAGTTTATTGCGCTGTTGTGCATCACACAGTTAATTCACTAATAAGTACTATGAAGCCGTACATACGAACATTGTGTGATATCTTTAAAACAATACAGTTTATCTCATTAAGGTTATCATTTTTATTATCCGTTCCGAGACGGGGTTTCTGTGGGGGCTGATGGCTGTGTGTGTGTGTGCCAGCGAGAGTCACTTAAGCCTGTAAAGGTGGCTTAAATTCATCCTTTTACCATCCCACCTGTTGCACTGCCAGTTTCTGTGTGTCCAAAATGTGCTTACACAGGGGTAAGGGTTTGCTTAAAGTGGCACACATGACTTACGCTATTTTCAGACCCTGTTTTGTGCGGAAATAGGATTTATAAACTAGACCCCAGGCTCTCTGGAAAACAAGAGGTTTAGTTTTCTTGTCAATATACTCTAAGCTAATGTGAACTCAGTTCACCTTTTACAAATCAGAGGTAAAAAAAACTTTTATTTTTCACAATCTAAAACCATTTTTACCTCTTATTGAAGCAGCATTAATGTGATCATTATGCTTCAGAGGGTCATGGTTGAATAAAGTACAGTTTGTAAGCTCAAAGGCTGACGTGTTTCCCCTCAGTGGTGAAACCACATGCTGGGTTAAATAACATATGCAGAGGAATAAAAGCTGCAAACAACCTGCTGCTCCAGAACCTCTTTGTCAGGATCTGCTCCTACCCCTCTGACTCTTGGGCCTAGTCCACACGAAACCGGGTTTCTTAAACAACTAATATCCGCCCCTCCAAAAACTTGCATCCACACCACCTCGTTTAAAAAAAAAAACTCTGTCCACACGTACCCGGATAAATACGTTGTTAAGGACATGCCAGACCTGTAGGCGGCAGTACTTCCCCGTTCTTAACCTCGTCCTTTGTCTGTGGTCTTCCGCAAGGAGCAGTAATTCCGCTTGCAAAAACAAACAAGCAAAAAGCGCTTGGACAATTGATAAAGCGAGCGCAGCTCTGATGCTGTCAGCTAGTGTAAACACAGGTCGCACACGTGATGTCAGCATTTTTTTGTCGCGGAAAGTGACGTTGCGGACCTTAAAACTCCGGTTTTGTCCGTCCATGCGCAGACACCCAAAACGGAGAAAACGCAGATCTTCACTTTGGCCGGAGTTTTTAAAAAGATCCGTTTTCGTGTGAAAAAACTCCGTTTTCGTGTGGATGACAGGCCAAAACGTAGAAAAATATCTACGTTTTGGCAGATCCCCGGCTACGTGTGGACAGGGCCTTGGTCTCATCTGCCCCTGATTGGATGATTATTGGACTCACCTGCCCCTTGTTATCCTGCCCATGTGTTCCTGATTGTTCCTTGTGTATTTATACTCCTTGTTTGCTCTTGTCCTTTGGCGGGTCATTGTTGGTTTCCACCCCGTTACGTTGTTCCTCTTGTATCATCCCACCTACCATCATTCGTTAAATCCGTTTTATGCTACCTGAGCTGCATTTCTGCCCCCTGGTCCTGCTCCACCACACATGGGTCCACCTCCACCCACACCACATTGTGACACTCTTTGCTGTTTTTGTTTAATTCACACTCTCAAAATGAAATGGCACTTCTGTCTATTAGCACATTAATTTAGGTCAAACGTAAAGTCTTTCTGCATGAGTCCATTGAACAGGTACACACCATCGAGCTTAATCCTGATAATTCTGTTGGCTGCTTGGTGGATGATTTAATTTAATCCATCCTTACTGCCCTGTCCCTTCCTCTCACTCACATCCACTGTTTCATTTCTCCTTTCTCTGTGCATTCCAGTGCCCGAGGACCTGTCTTTGGAGGAGAGAGTTGAGCTGTCGAACATCCGACGCAGGAAAAAAGAGCTCCTCGATGATATAGAAGTGAGTAACAACATAATTTTTGTTGGAGGGATGTAAAGAAATTCTTTAGTCATAAAAGACTGTTTGGAGGATTAAATCTAGTAGCATGAATTATTCAATTATGCAGAATTATTTTTCTTTGCAGTTATTTTGTTTCATATGATTTTTGCACACAGCTGCTCTACATCTCTGTACAAAAGCTATAAAAAAACTGATGGCAATATTTTCTTGTCTGCAGCAGCTGAAATTAAATGATAAATGACCCACACTTGTATAGCGCCTCTCAGAGTAAGGACTCCAAAGCACTTTACACTACAGTGTTTCATTCATCCATTCACACACACATTCACACACTGATGGTGATGAGCTACGATGTAGCCACAGCTGCCCTGGGGCACACTGACAGAGGCGAGGCTGCAGAGCACGGGTGCCACCGGTCCCTCCGACCACCACCACCAGCAGGCAAGGTGGGTCAAGTGTCTTGCCCAAGGACACAACAGCAGAATTCTCTGTCCGGAGCCGGGATCGAACCTGCAACCTTCCGATTACTGGACAACCCGCTCAACCTGTTGAGCTACTGCTGCCCCAACAATTAAACTTGTAACATAAAAAAATGACTAAATCATAAACTGTCAGAAAACTGTCTATCTGGGTGTTTGTAACTTGCTACTTCAGAGCTTCAGAATATTAACTAAATAAGTGGTTAAATCTTTTATTTTTGCAGCGTCTGAAGTTTGAAATTTCAGAAGTTATGAATGAGATCGAACAGCTAACCTCTGTGGGGGAAAGGTAAGTGTTCACAATATTTATATATATATTTAATAATATTTTTATTCATCCTACAGCTCAAAACAGTGATCAGAATTATTCAGAATATATCCATAGTTTATTATAGTTTTCAGTGGAATGTCAGATTTCCCAGAACCTGTCATATTTACATTTGTTGTTTGCTTTAACAACTCATGGAGCACTGGAAAATATTTAGTTTAGCCTGATGTAACAGAGGTTGAATGATCTAAACCTTTACATTTGCTATTTATCAAGTTGCTGGGGGATTGTTTTTGTTTACTCAAAGAAATGGCAAGAAAACGATTTATCACTATCAGACAAAAATAACTCAAATAAATAAAATAAAACGTAATTTTGCAGGATTTCAAGAAAATGTTATCTTAACTAACCTATCTTAAAAAGTAATCTGGCCCCCTTCCCTTAAATGATGAAATAACTGTGATGGACCAAATTTTGTGGAAAGCTGAATTTGGCTCCATCGGCCACAACCAGACCTGATCACTATCAGGCCCATGTAACGTAGACAAGGCCATGTGTTTGTCCACAGCCTGCTTCGTCAACGTGCCAAAGGTTAACTTTCTGCCCAGGACACAGGTTGTGTTGGTCTGACACAAGAAGGAGGTGATAATGAAATATCTCCTGATTTATTTGTCCAAGGTTGCCTCACAAGGCATCTTTACAAGAGACAAGACTTTTATCCAACTCCCTTTTAATAAAAATATCTTATTCTTGCTCATAAAATTATTTCTTTATTTTACAGGTTAATAACAATTACATTAAACAATGAATGTGTTGTCTAAAGTGATTTAATAATGCCTTGACTGCTTCAAATTAATGAATGAATCAACATAACTGTTTACTCTGAAAATAATGCTTTGTTTTAGATCTTAAATACACCAAATGGGTATACTTGTTGAATTTAATAATGATTTATTATCAGTATATTTACATATTAATATTACCATATTGATAAATGACTGTTTAACATAATTATTTCATATTAAGTGAAATAGGCCTGCTCTAAGTGTATGAGGAATGAGTGATGTCTGAGGACTCTTGGTTAATGCCCATTTTACACTTGTTAGTATCTGATTTGTCTAAATATATAAACAACAATTAATTAAAAGGGGTAACACTGATGGTAAAATATAGTTAGGCCAGACTGGGTCAGTAGCATATGAACCATCCTTTACAAGTTCAGATTTTCTTTGCAAAACTGCAAAACTCCATCAGAGGAGCAACTCTTGAGACGTGAAACATCTCACCAGCAGACCCGGAGATTATCTCTGACAAGCTGATGCTGATTCAGAAGAATACGGCCTTTAAAATCCAGAAATACTGCTCGCTTGCCGAGAAGACTTTGTGGCCAGTAATCGCAGAGAAGCCTCATCACACGAATATCGTACTCCACACCTGGTGTTGGATGGTTTTACTAATTTGATAATTTGTTAAACCTAAGTAAACATTCAGCCAGACTTAAGCTGAGCGTACACTGTGCAACTTCACTTTTTTGAGCCGATTTTCCACTCGTGCAAGAATCCACAAGATCGGGGCGAGTTTTGCGCTGAGCGTCGTGTAGTATACAGGGGGTTACGAGAGGCAATTAACACCACGTGACCAGCTACTGATCAGCAATCGTGAGCTCGCACAGACTTCTGGAGTGTTTGATATTTTGCTCGTTCCTCGTGAGGGTTGAAGCGGCGCAGCGAGCGGCTGCGACCCAAAAAGTACCAAAACCGCTCATGGCGCATGCGCAATCATGCATCAACACCGCTCACCCGCTATTTCCCTAATAACACACGTTTTTCGTTTTTATTTCTAAACGTTTTTTTTTTTGTCGTGTTCATGTCAAATTAAAGTGATCACAAAACACAGATTTACTTTCTTTATTTCGTTTTCCTCATCCAACCCCCATAAATCCCTGTGTGTCCTCCTGCAGCACTCCCGAAGGACAACAGGCAAAATAAGACAAAAAAGTCTGATGTGTTGTGTAAAAACTGCTATTTTTAGCATATTTTTAGGTCCGATGTGTTGCTACCAGATGTACAGTGTGAGCAGCCAGGTCGCATCCAAGAACTGGGTCATACAGTGTGAGCACATGACTCGTGAGATCTGCCCTGCGAGGAAGTCGTACAGTTTGAGCTGAAGCTGAGTGCTACGAGTGAAAAAGTTGCACAGTGTCCGCCCAGCTTAACTTTACAAGCCAGACATCACAATTTTCTAAGACACTTAATTAGGTTTTTAACACAATATCTAAGCTCATATTTCATCATTGCTCATTCAGTGTCTCAGTTGATATCACCATAACTCGTCGTCGTCTTCCTCCGCTTATCCGGGTCCGGGTCGCGGGGGCAGCATCCCAACTAGGGAGCTCCAGACCGTCACTGCAGATGCTGAACCAATCCGCCTGTCGATCTCCCGATCCCTCCTACCCTCACTCGTGAACAAGACCCCGAGATACTTAAACTCCTCCACTTGAGGTAGGACCTCTCCCCCGACCCGGAGTTGGCAAGCCACCCTTTTCCGGCCGAGAACCATGGTCTCAGATTTGGAGGTGCTGATCCTCATCCCAGCCGCTTCACACTCGGTCACGGACCTACCCAGCAAGAGCTGAAGGTCAGAACTGGATGAAGCTAGGAGGACCACATCGTCTGTAAAAAGCAGAGACGAGATTCTCCTGCCACCAAACTCAACACACTCCACACCACGGCTGTGCCTAGAAATTCTGTCCATAAAGGTAATGAACAGAACCGGTGACAAAGGGCAGCCCTGGCGGAGTCCAACCCTCACCGGGAACAGGTCCGACTTACTACCGGCTATGTGGACCAGACTCACCCTCCCCTGGTAAAGGGACTGAATGGCCCTTAACAGAAAGCCACCCACCCCATACTCCTGGAGCGTCCCCCACAGGGTGCCCCTGGGGACACGGTCATAAGCCTTCTCCAAATCCACAAAACACATGTGGATTAGTTGGGCAAACTCCCATGCCCCCTCCCATGCCCCCTCCTTGCAAGGGTATAGAGCTGGTCCACAGTTCCACGGCTAGGACAAAACCACATTGCTCCTCCTCAATATGAGATTCAACTATCGATCGGACCCTCCTCTCCAGTACCTTGGAGTAGACCTTTCCAGGGAGGCTGAGGAGTGTGATTCCCCTATAGTTGGAACACACCCTCAGGTCACCCTTCTTAAAGATGGGGACCATCACCCTGGTCTGTCACTCCACAGGAACTGCCCCCAATGACCACGCAATGTTGCAGAGACGTGTTAACCACAACAGCCGTACAGTATCCATAGCCTTGAGATACCCAGGAAGAATTTCTTCTGCCCCCGGGGCTCCGCCGCTGTGTAGTTGTTTGACTACCTCAGCAACTTCTGCCCCCGAGATTGGACAGTCCATCCCCAGGTCTCCCGGCTCTGGTTCCTCCTCGGAATGCGAGTAGTTGGGATCGAGGAGCTCCTCAAAGTATTCCTTCTACCGTCCGACTATAGCCCCAGTTGACGTCAGCAGCTCCCCATCCTCACTGTAAACAGTGTGAGCGAGTTGCTGCCTTCCTCTCCTGAGGCGCTGGACAGTTTGCCAGAACCTCTTTGGAGCCATTCGATAGTCTTTCTCCATGGCCTCACCAAACTCCTCCCACGCCCGAGATTTTGCCTTGGCAACTGCCACTGCTGCACCCCGCTTGGCTATCTGGTACCTGTCTGCTGCCTCCGGAGACCAACAGACCAGCCACGCCCTGTAGGCCTCCTTCTTCAGCCTGACGGCTCCCCGAACCTCTGGTGCCCACCAGCAGGTACGGGGGTTGCCACCACGACTGGCACTGGCCACCTTGCGGCCACAGCTAGCAACAGCCGCCTCAACAATTGCAGAGTGGAACAAGGTCCACTCGGAGTCAATGTCCCCCACTGCTCTCGGGACGCGGTCAAAGCTCTGCCGGAGGTGGGAGTTGAAGACCGTCTTGACAGGTTCTTCTGCCAGGCGTTCCCAGCAGACCCTCACTATGCGTTTGGGTCTGCCAGGTCTACGCGACATCTTCCCCTGCCATCTGATCCAACTCACCACCAGGTGGTGATCAGTTGACAGCTACGGGTGTCCAAAATATACAGCCGCAGGTCAGATGATACGACTACAAAGTCTATCATCGACCTGCGACCTAGGCTGCCCTGGTACCAAGTGTACCGATGGGCATCCTTATGTTCGAACATGGTGTTCGTTATGGCCAAACTGCGGCTTGCACAGAAGTCCAATAACGAAACACCACTCGAGTTCAGATCAGGCGGGCCGTTCCTCCCAGTCACACCCCTCCAGGTCAAGTTGTCATTGCCCACGTGAGCATTGAAGTCCCCCAGCAGGACAATGGAGTCCCCTGATGGAGCACTATCTAGCACTCGTCCCAGGGACTCCAAAAAGGGTGGGTACTCTGAACTGATATTTGGCCCATAAGCCCAAACAACAGTCAGGACCCGTTCCCCGACCCGAAGGCTCAGGGAAGCTACCCTCTCGTTCCCCGGGGTAAACCCCAACACACAGGCAGAGAGTCTTGGGGCTAACAAAAAGCCAACCCCAGCCCTCCGCCTCTCTCCCGGAGCAACTCCAGCAAAGGAGAGTGTCCACCCCCTCTCAAGGACTTCAGTTCCAGAGCCAATGCTATGTGTCGAGGTGAGTCCGACTATATCTAGCCGGTACCACTCAACCTCTGCCACAAGCTCCTGCTCCTTCCCCGCCAGCGAGGTGACGTTCCATGCCCCAAAAACCAGTTTCCTTGTTTGGGGATCGGACCACCAAGGCTCCCGCCTCGATCTGCCACCCGATCCACACTGCACCGGACCCTTCATGTTCCTCCTCCTCATCATTTATAATCATTTGTTCTGCATCATCATAGTAGTAGAAATATAGTAATAAATTGATTTTCATAAACTATATTTTTGTCTTCGTGTCAAATTATTTTAAAGTGGTGATTCCCTGGAATACCCAAATTACCTGGTGTCATCATCAATCGAATAATAAAGGTTCAATAATATTGATAATCCATATTTTTATGGAGTATTACATTTTATTAAATATCTTTATTCTCTAGTCACTATTTGAAATTTTTATTAAATTTTTTTTTTTTCGTTCTTTAGACCTAAAGGGAATTTTCCACCATGGTGGACAATAAAGTTCTATTCTATTCTATTCTATTCTATTCTATTCTATTCTATTCTATTCTATTAAAAGTAACCACTTATGAAATGTTACACCCGTGAGTTAAATAAATCACTTCAATTGAACCTGTCTGACAACATGAAATAGGTAAAAATGTCTCAAAAAGCAGGACATCGTGCACCATTCTAAAGAAACTAGAGATGCTCGAAATTGGCTTTTTTTTTTTTACTTATATCAGATATACTGATATTGTCTGACTCTTAATTTTCGATAGCGATATAAACCGATATCGATGTGTGCTGTTTCCTCACTCATAAAAAAAAGAAACTAACACATTTTAGGTTACTAACATCACATATCTCCAATCATGCATGCTTACATTTTAAACATTAAATTGAAACAGCAGATTCTCATTCCTCTATAGCACGACACTAAGATGTGTATATTAGTAATGTGTTTTTTTCTGTATATTGCAGTTACAATGATAAGACATTTAGAAAGATTTTCAGATAAGAAAAACAAGCATTGTGTAAAGATTCTTGTTTTTGTTTTATTTACTAGTTGTGAGGCTAGCATACATTCACTACACAGGGCTAATTTCTGCTTCACAAGATATGTCATATTAACAAATTCATCTAAAAAGCTTTACCTCAGATCTGTCATATTTAGACATTTTGAGAGCGAGGAGAAGTTGTTGAAGAGTCTGATGTGTTATATGTGTATGGCATGTTAATGATGTGTCATTAAAAGGCCAAAAACTGATACCAAATTGTTCCAATATTGAATTTAATTGCTGATATCAACCGCTATCAGTGGTAGACTGATAATATTGGACATTCCTAAAAGGAACTCAAGAAGGAGATTAAACAAAAAGAAATAGATGGGGCAAAATAGTTTCCATTGAAGAGAAAACCTAAAAAAAACCTCACATTTAAAAAAAAAATCATCTTGACGATCCCTGAGACTTTGAGACAATATTCTGTTGACCAACAAGGAAAACAGAGAAGTTTATGGAAAGTGTGTGTTGTTGCATCAGGTGTAAGACTAACACTGGATTTCAGATAAATAACTTTATACCAACTGTCAGACATGGTGGTGGTAATGCTATGGTCTGGGGCTGCTTTGCTGCTTCAGGACCTAGACCACTTGCTGATGGAACCATGATGGTCTGACCTTTGACCTTGAACAGACTGTTCATGCTGGGACTCATTACCAGTTATCACAAACACATTATTGCATTTACTTCCACCAAGACAATTACCATCAGCTATTAGGTTTATGGGCCAAATAGTTTTCCACATAAACCCGGGTTGATTTAAAGGCTTTGTTCTCTTCAAAGATGAAGTCACGATTTGCAAATTTAGTTCAGAATTTAGTCTTTTTTTTGTCTGATATTGAAAGTTGTTTTCTGTTCTGAAACATGTAATGGGATATTCCATCCCAAAGTAAAATTTGTTCTTTTGCCATTTTCTCCAGAGTTAGATAAGTGGGTAATAGCATTTTGTAACCAGATTTATATTAGCTTTAGCTTAGCATAAACAATGTAAGGCAATGGTAACAACTAGCACAGCTGTAAGCTGTCGCTGCAAGGCACAAGATCAAGACGCAGCAGCGTGACATCTGGCAGATATTGTCACTTCCGAGTTTAGCTTAGGACATTTACATTTCACCCTGATGACAGGAGATGGTGAGCTTTACGGCCGCTCTGTTGTGTCCTTGTGCCTTGCAGCAGCGCTTTACGTGGTACCAAGTCAAAATCGGCTTCTGTAATTTCTCTGGGTTTGTTATTATTTTATTAGGAAATTAGGATTATTTTTTATTAATTTTCTTGACTTTCGTATGAAATGCTAGTTGTTACCATTCACTTACATTGTTTATAATAAGCTAAAGCTAATAGAATACTGCTGGACTAGGAGAATGACAGGGCTGGTCACAAAATAGTTTTGCTCACACATCTAACTCTGGAGAAAATGGCAACGGAGTAAAATTTGCTTTGGGTGGAATATCCCTTTAAGTGAGGCAAAAAGCTCAAGCATGAGTTTTAAAGAAGATAAGTACATTGTATGATGCATAGAGAGCAATATATAGTTTCATATTTTTCTAAATAAACAGTTGGACCCATTATTTCCTCCTTGTTAGTTTTTTTACACATTAAGCTGTGGGCCTCACACCTGTCATTTTGTGTTAATCATTGATCGTTTGAAGAGTGAAGTGGAACAGGCTCCAACTGATTGTTAACCAAACAGTTTGCATTCACAGGCTTTGTGTGATTGGCTGCTGAGGTGGAGTGATGTCTCAGGTGTGCAGCTGGCAATGGGTACTCCGGTTTTTTAGTTACAGGGGAGTTGGCTGAGACAAAAAGGTGGAGATTTCCCTGTGGGGGGTGCATTCAGAGTGTGCAGAGTATTAAAACAGGAAATAATATTCCTTTAGATGACACCTGGAAGGGTTCAGCTGAAGGATAAAGATGTGCTTCTGCAGTATGCATACATACTTTGTTGCAGAATCACCTTTAATGTGTTTTCAGTTTTCAGCACCAACCTTCTGCAAACCTGGTATTTATTTGATGAAGTGGTAAAATAAACAGTGTTAGAAATGCTTCACAAATTGACCTACAAAGCAAGCACAGCAGCCTGGAGCCTACACCACGCCCAGCTGACGTGTGACAGATGCTTCTAATTTGGTGTTTTCATTGTACTTACAGCAAAACTTCACAAAGAAACAAACAGATCGCCATGGGAAGGAAGAAGTTCAATATGGACCCAAAAAAGGTCAGGCCAGATGCTGAAGTGTCTGAATAAATAAAACTACCGATGTTCATATTGCTTTTTCAATTAAACTCCAAAATGGCTCCAAATATCTCTAACAAAGAGCTAATGGAAGAGGGATGTCTCAACAGGGAATCCAGTTCCTCTTGGAGAATGATCTTCTTCAGAACACACCAGAAGACATTGCACAGTTTCTCTACAAAGGCGAAGGGCTCAACAAAACCGTCATTGGGGACTACTTAGGCGAACGGTGAGCTCCCAGACCGCCCTCTGTTTTCTGTCTGCTCTCTCTCTCTCAGATCGGCATTGCCTGAGCCCAGAGTTGAGCTACAGGAAGTAATTCGTCTGGATTTATGAAGCGGTGCACCAACCGACAGGAGTTGGTGCCTCTAGAACAGGGGTGTCAAATTTGCGGCCCGCGGGCCAGATCCGGCCCGCAAGCGGGTTAAATCAGCCCCGCGAGATGGTTGTGTAAACTTTATTTTCATACTTTACAATGTAGAGTGAAAATAAACTTATCTTTGTGAGCAAGTTTTCTCTGTAATGAGTATAAAGAAAACAAAGCTGCGCTCAAGGCTCACACAAGAACTTGAATCACATCCTGAAGTTGGCCGCCACTCAGGATGTGACTTCTGATATTGATTTGCTGGTGAAGCTAAAAGATGTAAAGTAAAATGAGTCGAATATATTTTAAGTGCTGCATGAAACTGATCTAGCCATGTGATCTGTAAGCTCTGAATCACTAAGGAATGTATTTTTAATTGATTTATTAATTTTTATTTATTTCAAATTTTCAAGTACACTTCAGGTGTTGTACTTGTACTATTTTGGATACACTGTCCTCAGGCTCCAGCTTTGTTTTATATTGATTGTATTAAAACAAAGAAAACAATCTGAAGTTGTTTTTAATTTACCGGTCCGGCCCACTTGGGACTAGATTTCCCTCAATGTGGCCCCTGAGCTAAAATGAGTTTGACACCCCTGCTCTAGAATAACTGAGAGGACATGCAGTTTTTATTGAGCGGAGGTTAAAACTGGGACTGTCTAAACAGGAACAAAGTGCTGCAGCAGCATCACTCCCATTACTGTCTCTTTTCTTAACAGAAATGTTGTGTAAATATTTAAATGTTACACGTGTTCCTGCTTCTCTCCAGGGATGACTTTAACATCAAGGTCCTCCAGGCCTTTGTGGAGCTTCATGAGTTTGCAGACCTCAACCTTGTTCAAGCCTTAAGGTCAGAGATGGGAGAAATAATATGAAAATAATGGTTGTTTCTATGGTTACAGTGAGGATTAGTCTAGACCGGGGGTCTGAACCTGGAGCCACGTGGACCTCCATGATGGCTAGAAATGACAAAAACTAACTTTTTTTCATTGAACAATTGTCTTGTATTTCCACAACAGAAAGACACTAAAAGTAATCAGTTTAGATGAACTTGATTTTTTTACATGATTTCCACAAATATCAACATTCTATAGATGTTGATGTAATTATAGTAACAGAAATGTAGATTTTCAAAAAATGACAGCAAATCTTTTAAAAGTAGACAATTATTGAATTCAAAAGATTTGTGGCTTTGATCTCAAGAGTTCTATTTTCTCATAACTTTCTAAGAAATCTGAGAAACGATTGAGCTTTTACTTTCCAGCGGTCCTGATTCTTCTCTGCAGATATGTATCAACAATCATAAATAGTCCCTTTTCGAAAGGTCCTGTAAAAGTCCCAATAACCACGAATAGTACAATCAAAACTCCACTCAAAAGAGTCATAACTCTGTATGTCTGTATAAAGTCTGGATTTAATCACTTTTAACGTGTGTATGCTGGTAGAAGTTGGGGATGGTGGGGGAAGTCTGGCTTGTTACCAACACAGGCAAGGGGGTCCGCTTGGAAAAAATATTGGGATCCACTGGCCTAGTGGACCCGGAGGGCAGGGTTGTGACAGTGAGTGTAACAGACTGCTAACCCCGTCCCCAGTTCCACTTGAAATATGACTATTTCCTAAAAGCTGCTACTTTTTCCCTCTAAAACATTTCATAATAACTAGAGGACTTACAGCTGGGGGGTTGTGTAGAAGGAATTAAATGGATATGACACCCAAGATTGAAATTTTGTCGACTGGCATATTTCCCAGTGTTAGGTAAGTGGGAAAGAACATTTTGTAACCAGCCCAGCCTCTCCTGACCAGGCTGTTCTCCTTTAGCTTTAGCTTAGCATAAAACACAGTAAGTGAATGGATCCAACTAGCAATGTGAGTAAAAAAGGCCTGAAAATCACTCAGTAGTGATCCTAATTCTGCTTGGTGACCTAAATAATCAGACTGACTTCAAGTGAAAATGATTAGTAGCATAACCCTGGTTTCACACTGCAAGCATCAGCGGAACGGAACGGCAGCGAAGCGGCACCGCTTCAAATAGAATCCAATTATAATCTATGGAGTGTTTCAAACCAGCCGTGACTCGGCAATTTCCAGGCGCGTCCCAGAAGCAGCATGCCGCGCCGCTAAAGGTAGGATCAAGCTCTATTTTTTCCGCGAGCCGCTTCTGGGACACATCAATTTCCGCAGTTCACATAGTGCGAGACAGGAAACCACACGGTTTCAGTGTAAAATCCCCGTTTATTTTCAAAATAAAATGCAACGTTGCGATGTTATATATAACTTACGTCAGTATGTGTGACCGAACGTCTTTGTTTACCACCAGTTTCTTTCGAGAAGTGCAGCGGTGTGATTCCTCACGGAGGTTGTGATCTCTCGATGAGGAAGGTGTCGGAAATCTCGAGGGGTTTTAGAATCTCGCGGGTACAGCGAGGAAGCCGTGCCGCGGCCAAGACTCTCCCAGTGTGAAACAGACCGCTTTGAAGTTCGCGAGTGAGCCGCTTCGCTGCTGTTCCGTTCCGCTGATGCTCGCAGTGTAAAACTGGGGTAAAGGAACCACAGGCACCATTTTAGACTTGGGACTACTTTATGACAAAGCACAGCTGTAAGCCTCCACTGGCAGTGCCAATGCCACCTGCTTCTGCAAAAACAGATGATGCACCTATAAAAGCTTTAGTTTTTATAGCAATCGTGTTATGACCACAACGTTTCCCAGATGAACTCAAAAATCTGATGTGTTTTCAAAACAAGAATTTTAGTTGAGCTTAAATGAATGACTTTTAGATCTGTAACGTACCAAGTGGTCAAATTTTTACCTACAAATTGACCACAAGATAACCTTTCATTTGCAGGCATAAGCCCAACTTCTGTTCGTTCCCAAATCCTAAACAAGACTGCCCCAGCTCTAGCTACTGCAAGAAGACCAAACATTCTCACTCAAGGCCTCATGCAGACTCCTGCATTTTCACCCTGAGGAAAAGTCATCTAGAATTATGAATAACTTTGTAGCTCATAAGTTGGAATATATGTGTTGAATGAACAAGATGTTTAAATCAAATGTAGAATAATTTGTGCTTAAATCAATGAATTTTAAATGAATATTGTTCGTGCAAAGATCCATTTCAGATCTTATCTACACCAGAACAGTATGTGTTTGATTTAACAAGTTAATTATCAATATCTGCACTCATACACATTGTAATAAGATACTTATTAATGTTAATATTCACTTCACATAAGTGTTTTTAAAACACTCATTCTCACATCAAAATCCAGAAGAGGTTTTATAGGGATAAAAGTACAGAATCTCAAGAATAAACGAGTAGGTTTAGGGCGTCTGCTCGTGACTCATATGCAGACATTTATTTATTCAAAGGAAGGTCAAAATACGTTCATTTTAAACAAATCACTAACACATTCTCAAAGCCAACATCCCAGCTAAGAACAACAATGTGTAATAATGTGGACACTTCTCACAAATGTATAAAGTATTAATCTGGAGGTACAAGCTGAAGGATTCATCATAGATGCCATCATAACACCGTGACAAACGAATGTTTCCTTATTTGTTGTTTTATTATTTCAAAAATAGCAAAATCATTTTAATTGACTGTCAGTGAAAATGTTTTCCTCAACCATTTAATTATTTTGTCTTTTTTAGATACTCACTTATCATCAGATAAAAAACATCTGAAATGAACATAAAACACACTAATATTATTTTTAATGTAATATCTGAGGCATATAGTGGAGTTTTTAGTTGGCGCTGAAACATTTGGGGTGTTTTATTTTACACTTTGCACCAATAGTTCCTGACGTGCCGTTAAATTTCTTCTCTTTGCTGCTGCAGGCAGTTTCTGTGGAGCTTCAGACTTCCCGGTGAAGCCCAGAAGATTGATCGCATGATGGAGGCGTTTGCCTCCAGGTACTGCCAGTGCAATCCTGGAGTCTTCCAGTCCACAGGTACACACACACACACACACACACACACACACACACACACACACACACACACACACACACACACACACACACACACACACACACACACACACACACACACACACACACTGCAGCTGTGTATTGATTCTTTCCAAACAAATAACTTGTGTCAGAGAGACCTCGGACTCAGCTCCTCACCGTCTTCTCTCAGTGTGAAGTTAATGTTTCGGTGCGACAATAAGAGTTTTTCCTTAAAGATCATCAAAGTTTGTTTACTTTGTATCTTTGGCTGAACTGCCCTCCACCTGAGCTTTGTGACCAGCGATACTGGGTCAGCAGCAGCTGTTAGTCCAGTCATGGCCGTGCTTGGCGGGCTGCACCCGTGTTCGGTGAGGATGAGAAAGCTGGTGACGCCTCTGCTCATGAATAAATTGTAAATAGCCTGTTTTTGATATGGCACCCTCTAGAGTCCTAGAACCCCCCCAAGGCGCTTTACAACACAATCAATTATTCAGCAATTCACACACACATTCACACACTGATGTTGATGATCTACAATGTAGCCAAAGCTGCACAGGGGCGCACTGACAGAGGCAAGGCTGCTGAACACAGGCGCCACCAGTCCTTCCAACCACCACCAGCAGGCAAGGTGGGGTAAATGTCTTGCTCAATGATACAACAGCAGCATTCTCTGGCAGGAGCCGGGATTGATCCTACAACCCTCCGATTACTGGACAACCCACTCTACCTCCTGAGCTTCAGCTGAATATTGATGTGCTGCAGCGCTGACACACCCAGACTATGTTATGGGTCATCTGTCAGGACTGGAAGACACAGTCATAGATCACTTCTGAGGATGTTGACTGAGAGGATGGATGGAGAGCAGGAGCTATGATGATGGCTGATGATTATACGATGGGGAGATTAGATATGTCAGCAAAGAGGGCTCTTTTGTTGGTTCAGTTCTCATTTTTTAGTAGAATTCCCAATCTGGTGATGAGACAACTGAGGTATTGATCACTATTAGATCACACATCTCCTCTGCTATTATGTAGAAAACGTCCCAGGCTTTCTAAATAAGACATTTAGTTTTTATTTAGATTCGAGGGAAAGCAGTCCATAAAGTTGGTTTCTAAGGATCAAAATGTTATTTTTGTTTCAGTGTTTTGCTGTAATCTTGACACAGTCACATCAGTAAAATCCACTATTTTTTCTATATTTTTATTCCATTCAAAAATTATAAAATAAAAACAAACAAATAAAATATACATAATCATGTTGAAAAAAAACACACTTGAATGAAAAGGAGCAGATAGAAGAAAAAATTCTTATAATTTCTGCCCCTTTTTACAAAAGAAAATTATCCGTCAAACATACACTATGTTATAACCTCCATCACTTTGTAATTTTTCTGTGTAATCATTGACATTTTAATGAACATTTTCATAATTGCTCGAATTTATACATTTTTTAAATATAGCAAGTGAACTTGATTCTGTTATTTCCCCTTTAAGGACATTTCACAGTCTTACATCTTTACAGAAATATTACATTCCTTCATTTTGGTTTTGAATTTAGTTTTTTTTTAAAGGCATCAGTTCCTTTTATCATGTATCCACTCACTCTCTTGTGAAACATTTTCTGAATATTAGTTGGTAAAGTACTCGTATTTGCTCTGTACATTATTTGCAATATTTTCCGCTCTTACCAGGTCAGGAAATTTCAGTATTTTATATCTAATGAAAAATGGATTAGTGTTCTCTATAGTTACTGTTATTTATTATCCTTTTTTGTAGAGTTGACAGCAGTTGTGTAAAGGTTTCACATGTTGCTCTCCAAATTTCTACACAGTAAACTAACTATGGTTCAATCAGAAAGTGATACAATGCTACTAATCCAGAACAATTTGGTAGAACCTTGACTCTATATAATACTGCTATGGCTTTGGTAACGTTCCCTTTTATATAACTTATATGTGATTTCCAAGTGAGATCCTCATCGAACGTAACTCCTACAAACTTGGTTTCTTTTACTCTTTGAATTTCCATTCAATCTTTTGTTAAAGATACATCACATCTTTTTTTGTTATTAAACAGTTTAATGTTAGTTTTGTACAGGTTCAACGACAGTCTATTTATGTCAAACCCTTTTTTTGCCTTTATCAGTTTACTGTTTACCACTTGAGTTACTTCATGTATATTTAATCCTGAATAAAACAGTTTGGTATCATCTACAAATAAAACTATATCAAGTAGATTTATTTATAAGGTCATTAATGAACAATAATTAGGTCCGAGGACCAACCCTTGTGGCACTCCTTAATGATTATCACTCAATTCAGATCTATCATCATTTATTTGAGCAAGCTGTTTCCTATTGTCTAAATCAGGGGTTCCCAAATTGGGGGTCGGGACCCCCAAGGGGGTCCCCACAAAATTACAGGGGGTCCCCACAATTTTGTCTTTGCTGAGATTGTGAGGTTAGCAAGAATTTCTTTGTAAAAATTACATTTATAAACTCCCAATAACACACCCTACAGTATAATCACAACTCCATATATAATTTATAACTTTGTGTCTGTGTAAAGATGGTAAATGATCACATTTAACGTGTGTACGCATGTAGGAGTTGGGGCTAGGGGTCCTGGCTTGGACATGAGCAAGGGGGTCCTCAAAAAAAGAAATTGGGAACCCCTGGTCTAAATAACCATTAACCCAATGATGAGCCACACCCATGGATGTAATTTTCACTTTAGAAGTGGGGGGGACATGGGGGGAGGGACATGGGGGGAGGGTATCTTTACAGTATGCTCTAATGGGAAACAGGCTTCAACACAAACAGTTGTTTTCTGCTTGGTCCTAGAGCTCAACCAGTGTCACTTTAATATAGCGTAATATTGTTTTTGGATGGTAAAAGGTGCAGCGGTCAAAACTTGACTTTGGAAAAAGTGTGTGTGTGTGTGTGTGTGTGTGGGGGGGGGGGGGGGGGGGAGACATGTCCCCCCCCCCCCCCCAAAATTACGTCCATGGCCACACCTCTTATTCCATACAGATGTCATTTCTGAAGTAGCCTTGAAGGATCAGTGACATCAAATGCTTTCTTTAAGTCAATAAAAATTCTAATGAAATAGTTTTTATTGTCTATTGTTGGTGATATTTTATCTGCTACATCCATTACTGCCATTGTTTAGAATGTTTGGTTTGATTAAAATGTTTTTATCATTTTAAAATGATTTTAGGAAGAATCCACAATCAGGAAAAACACTGTTCCCACATAAACGTGGCCTTCTGGAGATTTTCTTGTGACACTGAGTGTGATTTCCTCCACAGACACCTGCTATGTCCTCTCATTTGCCATTATAATGCTGAACACCAGCCTCCACAATCCCAACGTGAGAGACAAGCCCCCGGTGGAGCGCTTCATCTCCATGAACAGGGGGATCAACGAGGGGGGAGACCTCCCAGAGGAGCTACTCAGGGTGAGGCTTAATTAGACAAATTGAGTCATGCTCTGTGTTTTTAACAACAATGTGCAGGTAGGTGTTTAATGTCTTCATTGATCTAGCCCATATAAAACCTCAAAGTTTTAATTTCTCCTAATTTGTCTCAGTTTAAGAACGTTTTTCCTTCTTTACTTCTAGAATCTGTATGACAGCATCAAGAGCGAACCCTTTAAGATCCCAGAGGATGATGGGAACGACCTGACGCACACGTTCTTCAACCCAGACAGAGAAGGATGGCTGCTCAAATTAGGTTAGTGTCCCCCGGCGTTCAGCTGCTGGGGGAATGAAGGACATCCAGGATAAACGAGTCTGTTTGTTCTTGCATTATTTGCTCTACTACTGTTGCTTTAATTGACAGCTTGATTTGCATCATGGAGGTATCTGGAGGAGAGGGATGGCTGCTTTTACCACCCAAATGCATCATCTGTATTCATGTGCATGTATTTGGCTCCAAAGTCAACTACAAATCTGTCACAGTGGCTGCAATGCTTGTTGGTTTGTGAGCCACAAAATTACATAGGTGAAGACTTCTGGCCAAAGAAATCACTGAACTGTGCAAAATAAAAAGTTAAACACACAATTAAATCAAATAATAAAGACACAAACTTGTATTTTACCACTCATGTCCACGTTTAGCTAACACTTTTCAGCTTTTACACCAATTCTATTCAATTTATGTATACAATGCCAAGTCATCCACAAAGTAAACATTGTAATTGAATTTACTTTTTAGTGCATTGAGCTCAGATCATTATTTCAATTAGTTAAGTTTCCTACATAAAGACAATCAGCAGGTCACTGACTTGTGTCAGAGACTTTAGAGCAATCCCCATATTAAGCAAGCATGTTGTAACAGTGGAGAGGAAATCTCTCCTTTAGCGGAAAGACACCACCAACAGAACCTGGCTCAGTGTGAGCAGCCAGCCTCTGTCACCGACATCAGTTATAACAACAATATGGTTTATTTTTTGGAAATCATATGAAGTCTCCAAACTTCACAGCCCACGGGGGTTCCTGGCTCCATCTTTGAGAACCACTGATCTAACACAACAAGTGTTACTTAAGGAGCAAGTCATCCCCTTCCAGCATCTAACTCCACTCTCCACTGCTGTTTGAAAAATGCGCCACAAGGAGGTGTTGCCTGGCAAACCGAGAGAGTGAAGCCGCTGACAAACACACACAGGCTTATAGTGGCTTTGTGACATCATAATGTACCAGCTAATGTCATAGGGTACCTCTTAGCCAATAGCGATGGCAGATTTTAATTCAAATTCATTGCAGAGTTTTTACCTGAACACTGACAGTTTTAGGCAGATTTTTTTTATTTTAACCAATATACACTAAAGTGCCAAATTATTGACTACGTGTGTCTACAGCACAATTAGACACTTATTTATATAGTTTTTCAGCAAAAAACGTTGATTTGGGGGTGACTTTCTCTTTAACGAAGGCATTGGGGGAGGAGAAACTCAGCTCGTTGAATGAACAGTTGTGTTAGAGAATCTGAAATATTTGAGTCAAAAAAACAGAAAATTACTCTTTCTGTCACAGATGTGTAGAAAATAATGAAAGTTTTTCCATCACACGTGGACAGTTTCCTCAGGAAGTAAAATCTTCCCGAGGCAGACTATAAAAACAGCCTCTGGATTGCATCTCTAGTCGAATCCGTTGTCTGGAGGAGATTTCTGCAGTTTCTACCACAACAATAATTCTACCACAAAAGTATTTGAGTTTTAAAGTGCAGCATCTGTGTGAATTTATTCTTACTTTATGGCCCAAACACATGTCTGTTATTATCCTTTATAAGGTAGTTACTAATCATTGTGGACTGTGGTTTAAATTCTTGTAGTAATTAACCTTTATTCTGAGATGTTTATTCATGTTTCCTCGCCTCAGAGAAATTCTTGTGCTTGTTGACATGAACTTAGACAAACTAGAGTCAGATATACTCCTATTGTTGGATTTAAAAAAGAAGTAAATAAAACAGATAAAAAAAATGTTGCTTGTTCATTCCAACATTTGCACCCTCCTAGTGCTTAATCAGCTCTTCCAGCACGTGATGCACAATGCTTTTGTTTGTGCATCATTTTCAGATTATGAACCTTTTGAAAAGCCTCCCACTGCACTTAGAGGAGTGTGAGTGGGGTATACACACTCATTTGTTTTGCAGCTCTTCTGTGCTCCATCTGTTTCTGATCAGAGCTTCACTTCACCTCACTGTTCCTCCAGCAGCAGCTGCATTACATCATAGCGTCAATAATATTTGTTCTGTAACTTTTAAAGTTTTACTGACGAGTATGAAGAATGCTCAGCAGCCTGAGCATTGAAAGGGGTCAGGGCCACTGCAGGTGGTTTGGTTTATTACCTTGTTCATACACACACACACACACACCTGGCATTGACCTGTGCATTCCTCTGACTACCATCTCTAGCCTGATCCAGCTCCTGGACTTGGATGCAGAAAGGCCCTTTTGTGGTCCACAGAGCAGACATGATTACATTGTGGGACAGCTCCTGCTTGGAGCCATTCCTGCACCAGTTCTGACATCGATGGGTCTAATTTACTCCCTAAAAATAAACCCAGAAGGATGAGGTGGAATAAATGTCTTCTTAGTTAATCTCTCTGTGCAAAATGGAAATTTGTCCATGCAAATTCAGCAACATGGAGTCTGTTGATGTGAAACCATGCGTGGCACAAGTGCAATGGCAATGCTGAGGCAAAGCCATATTCAGTTCTCAAACATTCAAGGACTAAATGTTTAGATTTGTATTTCACACAGTAGTTTGTGGGTTTGCACACATTTTAAGAAAATCTGAGCCTCAACTTCACATCCTTTGTGTTTTCCTTCAATATGAAGCTCTGCAGCCACTGCCAGAGGCTGAAATTTGCTTCAGACCAGCATTTTTGGACGTTTCTGCTCACTGCTTATAGTTAGGTTATTTATTTATTTTTTTTGGAGTGGAGGCGAGGGGAAGGATGTATTTTGCACAAATTATTGTGTGAGGTGGTTAACGTGCTGTGGGGTTTGCTTGCTTTGTTGTGCGTGGATGTGTGTGTGCTCCTTCGGGGTTTGCTTTAGTGCCACGTTGGGTTCATATCAGCCTCTGACCGAGTTCCTGTCTCCTGAGAGCCAAAGAGTTTCTCTTTTCTTTTGAATCCTGTGGCCATGAAAAATGAAGAAGCAAATTCAGTAATAATTTATCAGCAGCTTGAGTCATCATTTAACTAAGCTTGAAGTTAGAAGAGATCGTAGTGGTAGATTGTAATTGCTGCTTTCAGAAAATAATCTGTTTTTTTTTAACACAGCACACAATCAAATCAGAAAATTGGAAGATTGAATGGCATCTATTAACTGGAGTCTTCTCTTAATTTGTTACAAGCAGAACTTTGCAATCAAATGTCCCCAAAAGCAAAGAACACAATAGAGGCTTACGACTTTTCAGGGGGTAGAGAGGAGGGGTGTTCAGAGCAGTTTCTGCTCGTTACACAACAATAGACATTCACAGCTTAAGCCCGACGCTCCCATATTCCAGTCAGAATTGACAAAGCTCCTCAGATGAGAAGCGAAATGTCTTCAAGAAACCAAAGAAGTCCAGTTGCCTTCATTTGAACCCTTTTGGATTACCATGACCTGGATGACTGAGAATCTTCACCAGCAATACCCCCTTAATTTAAATAATTTTCTACAACATTTAGATAGATTTTTCTAGAGATTAATGGTAAAAACTTCACATTGTCTCTTTAACATTTATGGACACACCCATCTTGGCTCATGACGTGGAAGGCTGTTGTTGGTTTAATGTCCAGGAAAAAGCAGAGAACATCTCTACCAGCATAAACTAACTATTAACATTAGCAACTCCACTACACAGCAGAAGCTCCTCCAGACTTGTGTTATTTTTGGAGATGGGATAGGGTTAGGGTGACTTGCAACATCCACGTTGCAAGTCAGTGGTAGAGTCGCATTGCTGTTATCCAATCCGAGGCAAGATGTCCAAATATCAGGAAATGAGACTCCAAAACCTGCTGTCTGAAGCTCAGCTGTGATGTGGGCAACTTCTAGTTCCTAGAAGTTCCTGGTGCGCCGGTATATTTCTCCCCCACGGAGAAGGATTTACAAGTCATTCAATCCTACCAGAGGCCATTGCAAATGTATTGATGAAAAGTAGGGCTTCAGCTATGAAACATTTCAGTATTTTTATTCTACCGAATTCTCCATTGATGAATCGAGTTTTCTATTTGACGACATTTCAAGTGAAACAAGATTGGTCTGCTGCTAAAAATATGAAAATAAAACAACAAAATTATAAAACTATGTATTAAACTTGTGTTGTCTAGTTCCCTCGTTCCCGGTTATTTCTAGTTGACACATATTTTATGGAACAAAATTTGAATTACATTTCATTAACATTTTAGGTTTGTATTAATATCACTCATCCTAGTCTAAATAACAAATCTAAATATATCCACATATGATCAGTAGAATGTAATTATTTCATTAATATGTTCAGTAGTGAGCTGCTGGAAATGCAAAAAACATTTAATTTCTACTGGTAACATTGGAATGGTGGCATATATATTTTATTATGTACGGGTTGGTAATATATAATCCAATCAAAATTGATTCAAATTTTGTGAATTACATGCTAAAACGGCTTGCCATACGACCTGCTGCGGTGTGAGGAGCGGACTCATAGCTGCAGCTCTGCCCCACACTGCTGCAGACATCCGCAAATAAACGGGGAGGACGTTGGGGCTTTTTCTTATGCTTGTAGAGTTTAGTCATTCACAACCATCGAGTTTTTTGGAACACCAGTAGCTCATGAGCGGGCTACGCACTAGCTTAGCATTAGCAATTCTGCTCGTAGTTTTAACTCTGGATTCAAATTCAATTCAATTCAAATTCAAAAATACTTTATTCATCCCAGAGGGAAATTGATGCCAAACTTGGGGCCGTTTCTGTGTTTTACAGTAGGTTTGTGTCTGTGGGTTTCTTTGTTTTCCTCCACAGCACCTAGATCACCACATAGTGCGCCAGCAAAATGTGTTCTGACTGTGGTGCGCACATTTAACGAAGCTTCGAATCTTTAAAAAATGAGTCGAAGAATTTGATGAATCGAACCATTCGTATCATTCGAAGATTTGTTTCAGCCCTAATTAAAAGAGTGAACCACACCTTTAAGAAAAGCTGCAGAAATCCTTTGTTGTTTATGTTTACATGTTCATCAGGATCTTCGGTGGATGCAGGAAATTAAATTTAACACAAATTATGAAAAGTATTAATGTTATTTTAAGCAATAATAAGTAAATCTAGTAGATTTGGGTCTGTCTCATTTCCTGCTCTTTTGGCTTCCTGTCCGGAGATAGCTGGTCTGTCATCATGGCCATCGTGTCACCTTCTGCCTCTCGGTCTCTCTTCCTGTCAGGTGGCCGAGTGAAAACCTGGAAGAGGAGGTGGTTCATCCTGACGGACAATTGCCTCTACTACTTTGAATACACGACGGTGAGTCCTGAGCCAGAATGAAACCCTCGACAGAGCCGTTCTTCTTGTTTTTAGGACAAGGAGGTGTTGCTGTTTGAAAGTAAACACAAAACAACATTTAACCAGGATTTTGTCAGTTCTTTAGGATAGATTCAGCTTTTTTTCCCGTTTTAAAACCTTCATTTTGCATGTGGATGCTAAACAGGCCTGATTCCAGTTCAAATCTCTCGCCTGTATTTTCTAAAATACAGCAACAGTTTTTCTCAGTTCACAGGATATGATGCAACAAACCGTTTAAAACAGTTACAATCCAGAATTTAAAAAAAACATGCATTTTTCCTGCCAAAACAGGATACAATAATGATAATCAATATTGAAATAATCTTAAATCGTTGCTGACTGTTGTCAATTCAGTCATTTATACCTGGTTAGGAAAACCTGTAAGTTCCTGCTGCAGCCTCAGCAGTGTCCTCCCCCTCTACCCTGGTATTATCCTTCAGGACACTGTCATTATGTCCCGTCCTCCAGTCTGACTGCTGTGTACACACATTACCTGATCCAGAGAGGACAAGAGGACAGGGGAGGGAGGACGCGAGGTTGATTTCAAAGCCTGTAGACCGCAACAACATGGATTCTTTACACACGTTCTGTACTGTTTTTGTCTCTTTGACCTCCTCTTTTAGGACATTTTACATGTTTTTTTTTCTTTGGAAACATTTGAATGGTTCTTAAGGCCTGATTCTCATGTCGCTTGTACTTTGACTGTCTAAAAATCCTCTCACCGGGTTGTTCCGGCCCTCTGGAAATCATTTATTGATCCATCGAGTTTAGGGAAGCGTGAGAAACTTGAGACGACTTCGGTGACCAGAGTGCAAAAAAAAGAAAAACTGTGAACAAATTGAAACTCTATAAAATGTCACAGTAAAATTTGCTATGACATCAAACTTTTCAAATAACCTGGAAATATGTAAAACCACTTGGAACAGTCTCATAAGTGCCCGTTAAACATGATTACAGCTAAAAATGAGCATTATCATGCAATTTTGTGCCTCCAACTAGTAAACGTCCAGCTTTATAATCTACTTCTCTGTTAATAAATTACTGTCGTCATTAAATTATTTGTGCTTCTTTCTCATCTTCCTTTCCTGCTGCAGGACAAAGAACCTCGTGGGATCATCCCGCTGGAGAATCTGAGCATCAGGGAGGTGGAGGAGCCCAGGAAACCCGTCAGTATTCAAACTTCACCCTAACATCATACTTTAGGTTACTGTGTTTTTAAACGTAGTTCTTGACCCCTCTCTAGAACTGCTTTGAGCTGTACAACCCAAATCACAAAGGTCAGGTGATCAAAGCCTGCAAGACGGAGGCAGATGGACGCGTTGTTGAGGGCAACCACGTGGTGTACAGGATATCAGCGCCTACGCCAGAGGAGAAGGAGGAGTGGATTAAATCTATCAAGTAAGAGAATAATATTATTAGGAATCTTAACAATGGTAACAGTTTAAATGCTTTTAGTGTACAGATTCATCTAAATTTGAAATGCTGACTCCAGGCAGGTGGAATTCCAGTAAGGCATGATTTTGTTTGAGAAACTTCCGACTACAGAAGGATGAGACCAGACTTTTCTCATGGTAAAGGTCCAAAATCTGTTCAACTGGTGGGCTCTTTAATAAAGGAGGATTTAGCCCTATCTGGCTGTTTTGGTTACATAAACAATCAAGCAGAACTGGTTTTCTCAGATCATCCTCAGAATCTGATTTATTAAGTTGCAGCTATTCAGATCTGATTTGAGTGTTTGTGTTTCACCAACGTAGCTGCAAAAACTGCTGCTTTGATGCAGGAGTCACAAAAGCTGCTTTTTAGAGAATTTTTGCTGAACGTTCCTTCTTGTTTGTAAGAATAAAAAAACAAGCCTCTCCACAGATTTGTTTACTTTGTGCATCTTTGTAAAAACCTTGGTTTAATATGAAATGCGCCAGAGTTCATGGTGAAATCACTAAGCTTCTTCGCGTTTTTGCAAACGAAAGCTTATTTATAAGATCCGGTTTGCTGAAACACATCTTCATGATTTCGTTTGAACTCTAAAACAGAATAAAGAGTAAATGTGTTCTGCAGCGTGCCTTGAGTTGCTGTAATATTGTGAGTCTCTGTTAGTGACCTAAATACTGGTTGCTGTGTAATTGCTGCTCTGAAAATGGTGCAATGTCAGGGACACTTGTCTCAGCAGAACAAAGCATATTTCATACTGTAATGCTGTGCAATCTCCCCTCGTCCTCTCCATACCATCAAAAAGCACAATGAGGGTTAAGTCGCTGCTCGCTAAACCCGGAGAAGTGGCTCCTAACTGGGCTGATTCATTGGCAACGATGGAGGGCAACAAACCACAGCTTGCATTTCACCAGAGGGGGTCAGAGAACTCCGGTTGTGTGGAGATAAAAGGCTTTTTATGGAAATTATTTCTTTTTTATTCACTGTCATCGCAAGAGGAGCTGATCACAGAGCCAGCACACTATCTGCTCATCAGGAGCACTGTTCCACATGAAGCCTGAACAATTGGTTTCTATGTTTGCATTTTTAGATTTAAATCCGTTCTAAATGTGAGGGATTTTAATTATTTCAAGGAGAAAAAAGAAAGACAAGAGATGTTAAATTAGTGTGATGGTAGAGTCATTGTTTCATGAGACTAAGCTGTTGAAATAGTCGGAGAAAAGAGCGGTACAGTCATCGTACGCGGGCTCTTCCCTGAGCGTGTGGTGCTACAAAGGGAATGGGAGAAATCCGCAGCGGGGGGTTAGCTTCTTCTTGCTTTGTGTTGGTGCTAACGTGATTTAGCAGCCGTGAAACTGGGCTTCTCAGCAGAGCCCAACTGGCTTGCTGACTCGCAGGCTCTCGTTTTCACCTCTCAGAAATAAAATAGCAGAGGGGGTGATTAAAAAGTGGTAATCTGGAGAGCCATTGTTTGGCCCGATTCAGGCTAGTAAACCTGCAGGGGAGTGAGAGGGAAAGAGCAGGACTGTTTGCTTTACCACGTTTTTGGCTTCTGGAAGAGGAAACCCAGAAGAGGCTCCTGAAAATTGGAGAGAAAACTGGAAACCGTGGAAACTGAACTAGGTCACCACACAAACTCCCTCCGCCCCCTTTTTCAAAAAATGTTTTCATCTAGTTAAGGCAGGGGCCTGAATAAATGTTTCCGTATTTTCACATCAAAGCTGTTTGACACCCTCCTCTCACGTCTTTATTTAATTTCTGTCCTCCTTTTGGTCGGCTTCTCCAGGGCCAGCATCAGCAGAGACCCCTTCTACGACATGCTGGCCACCAGGAAGAGGCGCATCGCCAACAAGAAGTGAGGAGGGACAATTCACAATCCACTCCGAAGGCCTCCACCTTTCCCTCCTTGAGTTTATGAACACATAAATGGCCGTTCGCCACAGAAGTGACTGCTCTAACCTCGGCTTCTTCTCTGGACGTTCTGCCCGCAGTCGTCAGGGAGACATCTCTCACAACTTGGGGGGACAGCGGAGCTTCAGGAAATCCGTGGAAGCGGAGCAGCAAAAACCAGCCTGCTTGTGTCGTGTTGAACTCATCCGTCCGTCTCACTTGTGTCTGTGTCTTTTAAAGCACAACTGCCATGTTTCAGGTGCACATGCATGCATGTGAGGTAAAACTGGCCAATATTTTTGTGTGTTGGTGTGCAGCATCTAGAATACGTGTGCATGAGAGATGCAGGTGTTTCCTCCACTGTGCTTTATTTAAAACATTTAAACAGAAGAACTTATAGGAAATTTAGATGGATGCTTTCATTGTGAGGAGTTAGAGGAGGGAAATGGACGTGTTTTTGAGGGTTGTTAGTGGAATCAGTGCATCTCGATCTGGTGCTGAATTCTTCTCTCCAGGTGACCTGCTCAGAGTAACCTCAGAAAAATAATCAAACGCAGGTTCTACGTGGAGGATTAGTCAGCTGGGCTGATTTCATCTCATTATGTGAAGGAGACTTTTAAAACAAGCACACTTGTGTATTTTATTTGAGGATTTGTGCTTTTGTTGAGGATTCAGATTCAACTTGCTTCTCAGATTGGAAGTTTTATTCCTTTATCAGAGCTGGTCGATTAGACGACGTTCCCACCAACAAGTTAAAGATTGAATGATTAATGCAACAAGAGGGAAACTGGCTCACCTTTGATACTGTACCATTTTAACAGTTGCAACTTGGCTTAGCGAAGCCAAAACTAGCTGCACATCTTCATTTGACACAAATGATGAGCTATCAGAGTGAATAAAAGTAGGTATTTTGTACATAATTGGTGCTATCAGCACTAGCTTTTGCATATATTCAATAAAATAAATAAGGAATTTTGATCAGATTAACATCGTCACTGAAGCATAGCTTTACTCTGATTCCTTCTGAATCGGAAAACCTTTAACCAGCTTTTAAAAGGACCAACATTTATTTGAACTTTAGAATCACTTTTATTTCACAGTCTCTTCAGCTGGGTTTGATTTCTAACAGTCCATTAGGTACCAGTCTGATTAAGCTTTTATTATTTGAGTTTTCTTTTCTGTAATGTAAGTGGACATTAATGTATTGCTGTGATTTGTTTGCGTTGGTTTCTACTCCTAAAGATCCTTGCTTGCTTTTGTGTTCCTGCTTTATGAACTTCAACATAATACTCGAGCATCATTTTTTTAATATTTATTTTCATTTGTGAAATGGTTTAATACTCCCCTGTAAGTGTTGAATGATGTATGCCTAAGCTATGTTTGTATATATCCTGTATAGGTTTGGCTCAGTGTGTTGCTGGATGCACACGTGTGCGTTAGCTGAAGTTTGGGCTCTTCTTTGCCTTAAACACAATCGCTGAAGATTAATGATGAAGAGAATTTAGGTCAATAACTGACTAAATTGTTCAAAAGCCATGAGTGAGAAGAGAGATGGTTCTATTTATGATAATGAAAAAGATTATAGTGAAATGTTAAAGATGCTGATAATATCATTGATGTCAAAAACACCAATAGTTTTCTATGTGATTGTAAATTACAACATTAGCCTTGTGGTCAGGGCTTGTTTTTATTTCCTGCAGCCTGTGAGAGGCTGTAGATGCATTAACTTTTATATTCTGTGTAAAATCTGTTGGTCACATTTAGTGTATCTACATAAAGTATACATAAAGCTTCAAGCTGTTACGTGTATTCATTATTGATGCTTGTCCTGACCCACTTTCTTCCCATTAATAACAATTAAACTTACCTAAATGCTCTGCAAGGCAGCATGATGTATGTTCTCACAGTTGGGATAGAAGTCCTGTGTAAATACACCTGGCTGAACGCAACCAGGTGAGTAAACAGGAAATAGAACCGATGTGGTCTGAACACCTACAATGTGTGGAGAAATGATGCCCTCTAGAGGATGTTTGTTTAATTGCAGAAGGCTAAACTGTAGCAGAAATGCACATTTATTTAAAGAGAAGATCAGATCTAATAATCCTAGCAATTGTCAGTTTCAAAGGAACTACATATCATTGATGATTGGATCACAGTGAAATGATCCAGTGCATCGAGGATCAAGTCCGGTCAAGCCCCAGATTATGAGTCATGCATTTGAGACTTGGAAGGTGGAGGGGAAAGAGCCAGTGAAGGTGCTGGAACTAGAATTCTTGGGTTTGGTGTAACCATACCAGCCCTGGTACTGGTAGGTTCAGTTCTTTATTAACTCTGCGTTGTGTTGTACAAAGAGTCTTGAGACGAAGTTTTAGCTGACACCAGCATTTAATCTGTCAACACAGGAATGCTGGTCAGAAACCTAGCTTTTGGTAAGATTGGTAGGATCAAACAGCACACTCTCGATCGGCTCCGTCTTAAAACTGACTAACGTCCGTTAAACACATAACTTTAACAATTACCTGTCAACACAGGAATGCTGGTCAGAAACCTAGCTTTTGGTAGGATTGGTAGGATCAAACAGCACACTCTGTTGGAATAAAAATACTGACATAAGTATTAAATAACTTTGAAAGTTTTCCTCACATACGTGCGCTGATAGAACCCGACCTACCTCGATCGGCTCCGTCTTAAAACTGACTAACCGCCAGCGCAGCTGGACACGTTAGTACGTAATGCACGTAAACGGTTTCAACTGTTTTACTGATGGCAAGTGGAATGACACCATTTACTCTGTTACATTCCCCCTGCCAAATTCCACTTGCCCATGAAAACAAAAAGAGGAGAAAGAAAAAAAAAGAAAAAAAATCAAACATGACCAGCATCCTTTCACATAACCAAGACAGAAAACCAACAATGTAAAAATTTTTTTTACATAGAACCTTGCACCTTTTTATCACTGAGGTAACACACAGATGGGCACAGCTGCTCAGTCAAAAAGACCCCCCAAGGGATAGCATGAAGAAGAGGATGGCCAAACCCCAACCCACACATTGAGCCGAAAAATGCCGAACACATATAACATATACCATGTCCCATAAGATACCTCAGCACAACTACACAACCAGCGTGCAAGACATACATATAACAAAAAAATGAAACATCCTCCCAAAAAAAATACAATTAAAGCTTTTTTTTCTTTTTTTTTTTTAGTTCAAAACAGCATTTCAACTGAAATCATTTCACATAACATACATAAATATATCTTATGATGCTATTTCCAACCTCTGATGCATCATTTCTATCAAACGATTGACTGGCTTAAACAACCTGCCCGCTCGAGACATCACACGACCCCTAGTCTCTTGAACAGTCACAGCCTCCAAGCCCATCCCAACAGCATCCTTATCCTCCATTCTGGGTCCACCTGACCCCTCCTCTGCAGATCCAACAGATCCATGACTCTGTCCAGGTTCCTCCATGGACTCCAAGCCATCAGACGCAGATGGCGTATCAGGCTGGGGGACGTCACTACCAACTCCCAATGGAACCTTAGCAGTGACTGGGTGCAGCTCTTCGGCTACAGACTGTCCAGTTGATACAGATGGCAATCCAGACACCCACATTCTGGTCCTATAATCAGACGAATCCACTGACATGTCCACAGATACCTCATCCAGATCAGTAACAGACAAGTTCTCAACCTCGTCCTCTGGGACCGGAACATCCAACGGGAGAAAGTTTACTGGCATGATCAAGTTGCGGTGGACCACCTTCTCTCGGCCAGTGGATGGGTCCTGGATCCTGAACGTGTGGCTTTCCTCTTGTACTCCAGTCACCACATAGACCACATCCTCCCAGCGGTCGGCGAGTTTTCTTTTACCACGTTCTCCTTTGTTTGCCAGCAACACTCTGTCACCAGTCTCAATGGGAGCCCCCCTTATTTTTCTATTGTACAGCTCAGCATGACGCTGTAATTGCTTTGACGCCGTTGTCTGTACCACGTCAATGGCCTCTTTCAGGTCTGACCGCAACGACTGGATGTAGCGGTCATAATCTTTGACATCTGGGACATCCAGAACAGACCCAAAGATCAGATCCACAGATAGCCTGGGGACCCGTCCGAACATCAGCAGAAAGGGTGGGTAACCTGTGGTCTCGTGAACTGTACAGTTGTAGGCGAATGTGAGGGACTTCAGCGCAGTGGGCCATCTCTGCTTGGACTTTGGTGGTAAGGTTCGAATCAAATTCCCCAGAGTTCGATTCATCCTTTCGCAGGAACCATTGCCCATGGGGTGATAAGGCGTTGTGTGTGACTTCTCAACCCCAGCAACTTCCAATAGTTCAGCAATGAGGGAACTTTCAAAATTGGCTCCCTGGTCTGAATGAAGCCTCTTGGGGAACCCATAGATGGAGAAAAAGTTGTTCCACAGCTGGTACGCCACTGCTTTTGCTGACTGATTGGGGCATAGAAATGCATGAGCCATCTTAGTAAAGTGATCGGTGACCACCAACACATCCAGTGACCTATTGGAAGAGTCTTCTGCGGACCAGAAGTCTACGCAAACCAACTCCAGTGGCTCAGATGTCCTTATGCTCTCCAATGGAGCTTTGGCTTCTGTATCTGGTGACTTAGCCACAACACATCGCCTACAGCGGCGCACATACTCCACCACATCCCTGTACAGTCCAAGCCAGTAGAACCTCTGGCGTGCGAGATACACTGTTCGTTGTTGGCCCTGGTGTCCCGCCTCGTCATGAACTCCTTTCAGGACACTCAGTCGCAACGACGATGGCACCACATACAGGAATGTTTTGTTCTTTGTTATTCCACTCTTCGCCACCCGATACAGTATGCCGTCCCTGACGGTCAGTTTGTCCCAGTCCTTAAGAAGTTTGTTGATCTCTGCTGGTTCCTTGGCTCGTTCTCTCCGAGAGGGTCTCCGTCCCCTCTGCACATAATATAGCAGTCTACACAACACACTGTCAGCACCTTGCTTCTCCAGCAGCTCCTCACGAGGGATTACTGTCTGTCCTGAACAATCTGGCAACTGCACTGTTTGTGGAAAATGGGGCAAGAGAAGTGCTTGCCGGCACAGGCTTGGCTCCTGCTGCTCACATGCCTGGAGGACCGCAGAGACTTCCTCAGCTGCTAGCGATCCCGTCACCACAGCAGCTACGCTCCCTGATGTTGCTGGGTCGCCCTTCTCCATGCCATTTTCTCCAGGATGGGCTGAACAACGAAAAGCTTCCTGCACCCCATAAGCACACACCGCTGCCGCTTCCACCAAGAGATCTTTGTATGCCACCCTAATCAACTTCCGAGACATCGTTCTGTGAACAAAGGGTTCCCGGCTGAGGGCATCAGCCACAATGTTTTGGGGACCGGGGATGTACCTGATGTCAAAACTGAAAGGCGCCAGCTTTGCGATCCACCGCTGTTCACAGGCATCTAGACGGGGCTTAGACAGGATATATGTCAGGGGATTATTATCTGTCCAGACTGTGAAGGGATGCCCTCTCAGCCAATGGTGGAATTTATCACACACCGCCCACTTTAGTGCAAAAAACTCCAGCCTGTGCGCTGGGTATTTAGACTGTGCGTGACTGAGGGACTTGCTTGCGAAAGCAATGGGTCTGGCAGTCGAGCCCTCTTCTGGTATTTGTGATAATACAGCCCCAAGACCGCTCGTCGATGCATCTACAGACAACAAGAAGGGCTTCTCGAAGTCTGGATGCGCCAAAATGACTTGGTCCAACAAAGTCTGCTTCAGCTTAACGAATGACTGCCGACACTCCTCTGTCCAGTCACTTGCTTGTAGTGCTTTCCGCTCTTTGCAACGTTTCCTTCCTCTTCCACGGGGACCTTTCACACCAGAAACCAACCCAAAGAGCGGCTTGGCCAGGGAAGAGCACCCCTCAATAAACTGCTGGTAGAACACTACCATTCCCAAAAAGGACCTGATCTTTTGTGGCGATGGGATGCTTGATTGGCCCTCCATCACATCGGCTTCAGTCAACGATGTGATCGCAGCTACTTTCTCTGGATCTGAGGTGATGCCATCTTCAGTCACAACGTGCCCCAGAAATTTCACCGATCGCCTCAGAAAATGACATTTCTTTGGGGCTAGTTTTAAGTTGTTAATACTGAGCCGCCTGAAGACCATCTCAAGTCTTTCCAGCGCCAGAGTCTCAGTGGGGGCAAACACCAACACGTCATCCAGGTAGCACAGGAGACTAAGGAAGTTCTGATCTCCAAACACGCTCAGCATCATCCTCATAAACGTCGCCGGGCTGTTGCATAAACCCTGCGGCATCCTGTTGTACTCATACAGCCCGAAAGGAGACGTGAACGCGGTGTATTTCCTGTCATCCTCGTGCACCTCAATGTTGTAATATCCTGACGTGAGATCCATAGTTGAGAAAAAGGCGTTGCCACCCAGTGCTGCGAGGGCATCTGCAGGATGAGGTAGTGGGTGTGCGTCTTTGACTGTCCTTGCATTGAGCCAACGAAAGTCATTGCAAACTCTTAGCTCCCCTGACTTTTTCCAGACCAGCACGAGCGGAGAAGCAAAACTCGCTACTGGACTTCTGGATGATATCTTTCTCCTCCATTTCATCCAACACCTGCTGCAGCTTTTCATACTGTGTGGGTGGTACACGCCTGCATGGGAGCCTAAACGGCTTTCCATCCACCACTCAGATCCGGTGAAGATAGCCAGCAGCTTTCCCACAGTCGAGCTTGTCTTTTGAAAAGATTGCTTGGTACTTTGTGATGAGACCCACTAGCTCCTCACGG